GGTGTTAAGCTATGACATTTTAGTATGTTTACTTTTTATTTTATTTTATAGTTCAGACTCGCTGCAGCAATAAGTGAGTGAGATTTGAGTACCAAACGCCCCCTTGCCTGACTGTCTCTATAAGAAGTGTTTTCAGTGTATATGTTGCTTTTTTCCATGTCTCTCACACTTACTGTACATTTTGTACAAAGATTCAAATTACAGCAGTAAAAGAAGAGTGTAACACTGTCTGAGTGACACACACATGCACACACTCTTTTCACAAGGCTAACTCTGTTTTTTGGCCCAAATCAAACTATAAAGGATAATGTAGTTGCTCTTACAGTGATGGTGGTTCTTAAAAGTCTAATATACCATTTGCTACATGTTTCTAAATAAGCGAAATGTTATCATTTGCTGCTTAAACTGACAGTTTCAATGGCACTATGCATTTTGGAAATCATCTGGTTGTCCTTAAACTACGCTCCTATGATTTGCAGGCAGGCACATGGATAATCATGACAAACTTCTATGCATTTTTCAAGCAAATTTGCAACATCTTACATTATCACCTTTAAAATGAAATCAGAAGCCTACATTAGTGTATGTTCCCATAGTGGGGTCCCATAAAAGAGGTTCACTTTGAAAATGGTCACTATACTGGGAAAGTATTAATTGTGGTGTTTAAAACAAACTTAAAGGGGTCATATGATGTGATTTCAAGTTTTCGTTTCTATTTGGAGTGTTACAAGCTGATTGTGCATAGATAAGATCCCTGAAGTTGCAAAGACTAAAGTCTCAAAACCAAAGAGATATTCTTTATCAAAGTTAAGACTCTGCCACGCCCCCCTAAAACGGCTCCTTCTAACACGCCCCCACATATCTACCTCACTATGTGGAAATATTAGCATAAAGGACCTACAATAATGTACAGTATTTGAAAAATGTGTTTTTTGAACATTAAAGTATGTCAACATATTCTGTTACACCAAATACACAAAATAATGATCTTTAAAAAAGCATCATATGACCCCTTTAATGAACTTGTTTTGAATCTATCATCTTGATGGTTTGCATCATCAAACACTCAGTTTCCAGATTCTGCTTATTGTATATATTTTGCTAGATTCTTGATATCAGAAGTCACTACACCACGAATGTATTAGCTGCTGTCAGCATCAGCAGTTCAGGAAACAGACATCAGAAAAATGTTATACAGTAGACATAATTAATTTGGAGTTACAATTTAAACCATTAGCTTATATAATAAAACGTAAGAGTCTGAGTATGTTTTAGTTTCCCACTTCCTCAGGAAATCTACTGATGTTCCAGGGAGTCTTAACATCAAGCCAAACACAGCATTGAATGTACAGGCAAATACAACCCATTAATGTTTAGGTTTTCATCTTGTCTTATGAGTAAATATAGAATTACATTTCACAGTATTTAGATCCTAATTTAGTTTCATTCAGCTGTGCATATTTTTTTTAGAAAAATTAAATGGGGATATCTAACAAGGTCTGCAACAGAAACAAAATTATTCTAGATTGAAGATAAGGGATTGTTTCTACAAGTCTTAGCCACAATAATAATAATTGTATTTATTATTATTATTAGAACTTCATAATGACCTACACGTATCTTGAGTTCAATGCGTGTTTCTATATGGTATCATGACAGAAGGTTGTTTTTGTTTCTCAGGGTATATTAGATATAAGTCATTGGACATTTATGTATTTTTTATCATTAAGTTTTGTCATTTAAAAGCAAATTCCTTTTTGTTGCAAGCTTTTATTCAGTGTTGGTCACGCTCAACTTCCCATGAACTGCAGGGACACCTACTGGACTGGATGTATTTCTCAATACACTCACATTCAGCGCCATCTGCTGGACAGATATCGACTACATCTGATAGGAAGGAACTGCACATACCGGTATAAAAGAGTAATAGATTATTTCCTAATACTCTACCTGTTTCTTTAAAATGTCAAAAACATTTAATAATAAATATTATACAAACCTTTAAAATCTCATTTAATTAATACCTTAGGCTGAGCTACGACCATTTCATAGAATGTTTTTAGTATTCTTAAAAATGGTATAACAATTTATCAAGTTTTTTCAATATCAATATACAGTGTGTACAACATCTGGATCTAAACTTGACTTTTGGATAAAGTTGCCATTGGTTTGTGTGACCAGGATGATTTCAAACGGCGCTGCTCAAAATGGCTCTTCTGACAGTTTAGGAGTTTACAGCACTCCCATTTGGGCGGCACATTTTTCTAGCAAACAACTT